GAGTCTGTCCCGAGACGGCCCGGGGTCTGTCCCGAGACGGCCCGGGGTCTGTCCCGAGACGGCCCGGGGTCTGTCCCGAGACGGCCCGGGGTCTGTCCCGAGACGGCCCGGGGTCTGTCCCGAGACCGCCCGGGGTCTGTCTCGAGATGGTCCGGGGTCTATCCCGAGATGGCCCGTGCTCTTGGAGGACTTTGGAGAGGAACTGTACGAGACTGTGGATGAGTTTTACCTCTCTGGGATCGGACCCCACCCTGCCAGACCCAACTCCTGTACAAACTGTAATTATTGCTGAGCATTTCTAATCGCCACGCTCTGCAGAGGTGTCCTCTGTTACCCAACCTTCAGGTTCCTCCCTTCATGAAGAAATCAGCCGAAGCTGCTGTTCAGTATGACGGCAGGACTTCAGCTCAGCCTGGAACCTGGTGCAGCTGATCAAACACAGACTGCTGATCAGCCAGAACCGTTATGTAATTCTCACAAAGACGACATGAACTGAAGGTATAGACGTTACTATTAGAGATAAACTGATCCTTGAAGCTGATTCATGAATCGTGTTGTGATCAGATTAAATTGTTGCTTCAGGTTTCGTTTGATTATTTCTCAGAATGAACAGGAACATTTACTAAAATCACAGAATCTTTTTTTTTTACATTGATTTAATATTTCCTCTACAAATACTTTTTTACCATTGAATATTTTTGAGTTTGGTGTGTGCCAAACATCTGCTCTACCCAGATCCACTTGTTATGAATGAACCAGATGAATTAGTTGTTTTGAAAACAGTCCAAGGGCTGCACCGCGTGGAGATGTTCAGGTTTTAAAGAGTCAGTAACATTCAGTCGTGTGTGGAAAGTTCTCTGATCGATGCTTGCTGATGTTCTGACACCTCTGGTCTTGGTGCATTGTTAGCCCACGTTAGAATGTGTTAGCTCAAGTTAGGATGTTTTGATGTTTTGGGACATGTTAGGACATGGCAGGATATGTTAGAACGTGTTGTAATGTTTTGGGACATGTTAACATTTATTAGCACATGCTAGGATGAGTTAGCACATGTTAGGATGAGCTAGCACATGTTAAGATGTGTTACCACATGTTAAGATGTGTTACCACATGTTAAGATGTGTTAGCACATGTTAGGATGAGTTAGCACATGTTAGGATGAGTTAGCACATGTTAAGATGTGTTAGCACATGTTAAGATGTGTTAGCACATGTTAGGATGAGTTGGCATATGTTAAGGTGTGTTAGCGCATGTTAAGATGTGTTAGCACATGTTAAGATGTGTTAACACGTTAGTATGTGTTAGCACATGTTAGTATGTGTTGGCTCATGTTAGGATGTGTTAGCACATGTTAGTATGTGTTAGCACATGTTAGAATGTGTTAGCACATGTTAGAATGTGTTGGCTCATGTTAGGATGTGTTAGCACATGCTAGTATGTGTTAGCACATGTTAGAATGTGTTAGCACATGTTAGAATGTGTTAGCACATGTTAGAATGTGTTAGAACATGTTAGTATGTGTTAGAACATGTTAGAATGTGTTAGCACATGTTAGAATGTGTTAGCACATGTTAGAATGTGTTAGCACATGTTAGAATGTGTTAGAACATGTTAGTATGTGTTAGAACATGTTAGAATGTGTTAGCACATGTTAGCCCATGTTAGGATAAGTTAGCTTATGTTAGGATAAGATAGCACACGTTAGGATAATTTAGCACACGTTAGGATAAGTTGGCACACATTAGGATAAGTTAGCACACGTTAGGATGTGTTAGCTCATGTTAGTATGTGTTAGCACACGTTGGAATGAGGTAGCACATGTTGGGATGTGTTAGCATACGACATGTTAGCACATGTTTGGACATGTTGGCACATGTTGGGACTTGTTAGCATATTAGGATGTGTTATCACGTGAGGATATCATTGAATATTAGAATGTGTTCGCATGTGTTAGTATGTTCTCGGACGTGCTACCACATCATTCTTTTGCACATGCTAGGATGTGTTATCATGTTAGGTTGTGTTAGCATTTCTAATCGTGTTATGATGTGTAAGCACTTATCAGGATGTGTTACCACATGTTAGCACATGTTAGGACATGTTGTCAAGTATTACAATTAGCATGCATTAGATCGTTGTAGCGTTTTTTAATATAAATTAAGTTGTAACACATATTACGATGTGATCATGTGTTGGCACGTTAGGGTATGTTGCCATGTGTTGGCATGAGTTAGCACATGCTAACGTGTTGGTATGCGAACTTCTCACCAACTCCCTGTCATCTTAAAGGCCGAGAGCCTTTTTAAATAATTTACGAGTCATTTAGTTAAATCTCATTATTTTGGATCGTGCAGACAAACGGAACTTTTATTATTGTAGAGCTTTACTTCTGTGGAGCTCTGTAGACATTTTGTCTTCAGCTCATTAACGTGTTCAGGTGAGCTCAGAGATGTGTGAGAGTGCGTCCTGTGGAGGATCACACCACAATGAGCTGAGTCCAGACTGGATGTGGGTGGACGTGTTATTAACATGAGAAAGCCTTCGTCCTCAGCTCCCTCGTGTTCCTCACATTGTCTGCTTCGTGTCTCGAGACAAGTCGCTTCCTTAAAGAGCCGTCGTTGCTCTCAGCTCGTCTTTAATTCAATTTTTTTTAAAGCAAACCGCTTCTCCTTCAGCTGAATTCAGGGACTTTGAGATGCAGATTATTAATTTGTTGTGGAGAATGATCAGACACCAACATGCGTGTCAGACTTCTGTATGATCGGTCAGTCCACTGTTAATATTCACTATTAGCAGCAACTTTACAACTATATTGCATGTTAAGGTCAATATGCAATTCTTTATTTAGTGTCCAATAAAAAAAGTTATTTAAACTATGCACCACCACACACCCTGAAAAGCAGAGGTCCCAGCCCTGGTCCTGCTGGTCCACTGTTCTGTCCATGTTTTAGCTGCTTCCTGCTTCAACACACCTGATTCAAATAAGTGAATTACCTGCTCAGAATGTCATCAGGTTTCGCCGAAGGTATCGGTTACATTGATATCAGTCAGGTGTGTTGAAGCAGGGAAACATCTAAAGCATACAGGACACTGGACCTCTAGGACCAGGACTGGACCTCTGATGTAGAGGAAGAGCTGGTGAGGAGGACATAACCGTGGTCCTCTGGTCTCTGCAGAACCGTGGGGCCCAGATGATGCCGCAGGGATTAGATTTTATTCTATGGGGCGAAGTTCCTGCTTGATCCGCTGCTCTGTTAGAACCTGTGAGAATGTTGCTGCAGAACCCAAGGACTAAGACAAAATGTGGCAGCATCTCCCGCTCTCCTCCCCCCTCCGTGGGTGTTCGGTACACTAAGTGCTTCATGACTGCCGATGGGTGGGGGGCGAGCGGCGCCGCATTCGGCGGAGGCGTCAGCAACCCTCAGCCAAGTGTCCTGGTTGTTCTGGCAGCGTTTTGGTGGAGCAACTGTGAAGTTAGCGTTCTGCTGTTCTGTCCAACAGGAAGGAGGCAGCGTGCTGCAGGAGTACTTCCTGTGGAGGAGTCTGTCCAAATGTCAGCAGCTCCACATCAGTCACTGTTGGTTTGAGCTACATGAGCAACTGGTGGCTCCTGGGCCAGATTTGGTCCAAGAAATAATAAATAAAATCTAACAGAGTCAGTCGCAGATCAGAAAGGGTTGACGCTGTTAGCCAATCAGAAGAATCGCTCAGGCTTTAAACGCTTTCATTTAGTAAAAGTGACGGTTTAGGCGTGTCCGGGTTAAACTCCCACAAAGATCTTTCTCCTTCCTGCTGATCTCAGATAAATAGACGTTTAGAAGATTTATGGATTTCAAACAAAACGTTCAGATTTATTTTAAGTTAAACTCAGACCCAGGTGGAAGGTCTAGATGTTTAAATGTTGTTTGAACCACAAGTAAACCTGCAGTCTGAGAGTGAAGTGCTCTGTTAGCAAAATATGGAACAATAAGATCTGAGATGGAGCCAGGTTGTTGAGAGCTTTGTAGGTTAGAAGTCAGATTTTGAATTCTATTCTGGATTTGACAGGGAGCCAATGGAGAGAAGCTAAAACTGGAGAAATATGATCTCTCCCAGTAACTCCAGTTAAGACTCTGGCAGCAGCATTTTGGATCAACTGAAGACGTTTTAAAGAATATTTGGACACCCAGATAATAAACCATTGCAATAGTCCAGTCTAGACGTGACAAATGCATGGACCAGTTTTTCTACAACATTTTTAGATAAGATGTTTCTAATTTTAGTGATATTACGCAGGTGGAAGAAGTATGCTCAGGTCCAAAAAACAAAACCTCAGTCTTGTCTGTGTTCAAAAGCAGAAAATTTAGGGTCATCCAGGTTTTTATGTCCTTAAGACATGCTTGTAGTCTAATTGATTCATTGGATTTCATGGACGAATATAACTGTGTATCATCAGCATAACAATCAAAATGTATCCCATGCTGTTTAATAACTTTACCTAATGGAAGCACATATAAAGTAAAGCGTATTGGTCCAAGCACTGAACCTTGAGGAACTCCATGACTAACTTTGGCGTATGATGAAGATTCATTATTTACATTTAAGAATTGGAATCTATCAGATAAATATAATTTAAACTAATTTCGAGCCATTCCTGTAATTCCAACATCATTTTCAAGTCTCTGTAGTAGAATATTATGATCAACTGTATCAAATGCAGCACTGAGGTCTAACAGGACCAGTGGAGACGCAAGTCCGTTGTCAGAGGCCATGAGAACATCATTAATTTTCACCAGTGCAGATTCAACGCTGTGGTGAGCTCTAAACCCTGACTGAAACTCTTCAGATTATTTCTTTGCAGATGATCACGTACTGTAACTGACCTGCAACTGTCTTCTCTGCTTCTACCTCCCGTGTCCTCCTCACTTTCCACTTCCCTCAAAAATTAGTTGAATCAGATAAAAGTAACAAACTGTCTCTGACCCGACTGTAACTGTGATGTTCTGGTTTCTCCTCGACAGCGGGCAGTTCGCCGTGGTCAGAAGATGTCGGCACCGGAGCACCGGCGAGGACTTTGCCGCCAAATTCATCAAGAAGCGGCGCAGCAAGTCGAGCCGGCGCGGCGTGACAAGGGAGGACATCGAGCGCGAGGTGAACATCCTGAAGGAGATCCAGCACCCGAACATCATCGCGCTGCACCAAGTGTTCGAGAACAAGGCCGAGGTCATCCTCATCCTGGAGCTGTGAGTCTTTATCTCCTGCCTGCTCAGCCGCCTCACACCTCCATCTCTGCCAAAACCAGACGGGAGGTGTCTTCGTGCTGCGTTGTTTGAAGCTGCTGGTGCAAAGCTCCTCCAGACGAGTGTGAAGAACGAGTGAAAATGTGCAGCTTTAGTGTGAAAATCTGAGAGGAAGGCAGAGTTTTATGAATCTGGAGCTCAGAGGAGTATCTGCTGGAAACATGCGGTGAAATCATAGTCCACTTTAGAAAATGACAGGTGTGACCAGTCCAGGTCCAAACAGAACCTACCTGAACAGGTACACACACACCTGTTAAAAAGAACAACGCATCGTTTGAGATGTTTTTCTGGAGTATATGCAGCTTTGACTCTCGTGTCGTAGGAAGGATGAGACGTGTTGATGTGGGTTATTTCCACGCTGCGGTCCTGTCTCACCTCCCTCCTGACTGGTCCATACAGTATGAGCACCAGGACTGGTTCCTGCTGTCTCACCTCCCTCCTGACTGGTCCA